TGTTGAGGTCTCCAGGAAGCTTGAGGCAAGAGGAGAGAGGCCGCATCAGTTGCTTGCTCTCGACACGGAGCCCTCTCTTTGGGCTCATAATAGTCAGCCGATCGCGTGCTTAGCATGTGGTTCCTTTTCTGCCAGACAGTTGAAGAGTCTCCTTGCACCCTGTAAGAGGCCTAGGGCTCATGGGACTAAAGCCCTCAGGAGACTCGAAGCTGGCTTGCTCCCTGAGGGAGCGCGTGTGGCAGCCTTCCTTACAGAGGTCTAAGCTGCCAGGTGGTTGTGAGGCGCTCGGATGCGCGCCTCGATGAGTCAGGAAGAGGAGGAGGAGGAGGAGGAGGAGGAGGAGTTGGCGAGCGCCCTGCCAGCCACCAGCCTGATTACTCCCTGATGGGAATTGTCTCCACCCGAATGCGTTCCTTCGGGTGCCAGCCTCGCTTCACCCTGGACCAATACTCCGCTGCCTTTGCGAGTGGGCGCGTGCACTCATGGCGGAGCTGCTTAAATTGTCCGAGGGTCGAAAACGCTTTGCAGCGGGTGCAGATACTTAAGATCTGATCGTTCGAGCACTCGAGCGCCAGACAAGAGTGCCCCCGTTCAGTCACAGAACGAGCAACCAGGGGCAAATCTCCTGCGCAGCCCTCGCACGAGGGACGCGCTGCTTGCCTGCGGAATCTGAGACAACGGTTGCACCTCCAAAAAGACTTGACCCACACCCAGATGTGCTCTCCCTCAGGCACCTCAGCCTCGTGGCGGTGAGGGCGAGGAGGCGCAATGTAGGGAACGTCTGCAAGGTCCAGACGCGGCCAAGAAACGAGCACTTTGGCCGCCAGGCGCGAGACTGTGCGCGACACCTTGAGCTGCCAATCCAGCTTAGTCTGCTGCTCATTGGTAAACCTGGGGTGAGCAGCGGCCCCAAGCTTGGCTGAACGATCAGCCTCGCCATTCCCGATTTTAAAGAAACGCTCTTCGGGGGAGAGATCGTCCGACTCGGCCACATGGGCCTTCACTTTGATCAAATCAGAAAAACGGGCCCCCGAAACATTAATCATGAGGCCCGAGTAAGGCCTCTTGTACGACAGCTTCTTAGAACGGTCGAACTTAAAGGCCCTACACACATTCAGACAATCTGAGTAACCTGGAGCGGGGTCAGTGAGGCAGAGGCTAGAATAAGCTAGAGCCCCAAACTCGGCCGCCTGAGGGGTCTGGGGAAACCGATCCCAAAGGGGGGACCTAGCTCTAAGCTTCAAAACCTGCTGCGAATCAAAAACCGCTATGCCCCACCCTGCCCTGCTTAATTCTTTCACTACGTGCTTCTGACAAGAACCATCCATGAACACATAGGATCCAGAAAACAGTTGCTCATCTTCGTGTTCTTGATCTACCTCCCAACGAACCTCTGGAGCACATTCGAGAACAGGTCGGGGGTGAAGGTCCCCAGGATGAGGGAACAGACCCTTGGTGAACAAAATCCAGTCCTCCATGGAACAAGATGCAGGGTCAATCTCATTGGCCGCCTGCAAAACATCGGGATCTACAATCTCCTGTCTGAGCTCCGCGACCTCAGGGTCAGGACAAACCCAAAGCATGTGGAAAATCGAGTCCGAGGGCCCGCCACATAACGCGCAACACGTGTCCTGGAGTTGATAACCACACTGGGTCGCCCGCTCCTTGGTCCAACAAGCCCCGCAGACATTGGCTCTGATCGAGCCTTTCTCGAACGGCGTGAATTTCGAACTGCTGAGGTCGCGAATCACAGAATCATAACAAAGCCTGGCTCCAACGCCTAGCTTCTCGCCTGACAGCCTGCGCAGTTGACGAATGACAGCTTCCCGCAGAAGATTCTTGATCAATTTGGGGGAGGAGGTCGTGAGAGAGAAGGTGACGCCAAGGTCGTTCGTCACCTGCGCGTAGCTGGGCATGCTCCAGCCGATGCGCTTGAGGGACAGAAACATAGCACCTATGGGGCCTCGCACCTGCCGCCAAGCAGTTGGCGGGTTGGCCCACGTCTGAGTCCAAGCGTCGCGAAGAGCCGCGAAGCCTAGAGCAAAAGGAGTCTGCTGGACCTGAGCATCCCACAACTCCCTGGAATATCTGGCAATCGGGGAAATGGCAGCATGATAAACTGGGTCCCCTTCCAGAATACACAGTGATGTGAGGGACCTGGACCCCGCCGAAGGTTTGACAGACTTCCCAACGCCAGAACGTAGCATTCCCAACTCATAATCAGAAACTCCATAAACCTCTGAACCATAAGTAACTGATGCCAGCGGCCCTGAAACAAAGATCATGCGAGTGTGTCGGCCTAGAGCTTGACGAGCCTTTCGCACCCGTCGGCAACGGGCTCTAAACTGAGCCTGTCTAGCCTGGGCCTTCCTACCTCGACCTTTGGTGCGGCGAGCCTGTCCAGCACCATTATCGACACCAAGATTGATTGCAGAGCTGGTGTCCGCCGAGGGGCCGCCGTGCGCTCCCAGAAACTTCTTCATTTCCTGGCCTACGTCGGCGTGAGAAGCCACTACTGCAGCCTTATCTGTAGATATGGTCGCCTCCATATCGGACTCCAGGGCCACCAGGAGGTCCACCGAGGCCCGCTTCAAAGACGACACGACCGATTTCGAAGTCCCCGAACTCGATAGCCCGTAGTCGTCAATGTAAATATCTAAGGAGACCTGCTTGGGGAACCTGATGGGATCCACAGTTGGGATGATGTAGACCCTGACGTACGATGTCGCTATGCTACAGCCAGCTACCACCCCGTGCGTGGCAAAGTGAGGTCCATGAAGAAGACCTCCTAGCGAGATGAAACGAGCCCCACGATAAGCCCTATAAGATACCCTGGCGATCTGCATCGGGAAATCGAGCAACTGGCAGCGGTCGAGGAGCTTGGGAAGCCGAATCGTTTCGTAGAACTTATATAGGTCCCACAAGACTTTACAACAGCTCATCCCTCGACCGACTATATGTTCACTCTTCACTCCCTGACGATACACCACATCCGAGGCTGAGTTGAAAGAGCCTGAAGCCAAATAAAGACGCTGATGTTCGGCTTCCCATCGCTCAGCGTAGGGGCGCCGAGCGCGAGCCCACAGCCTATAGAGTGCCGAAAAAAAGCCCTATCGGGCGATAGCCTCCTGCAGGCTTCTGAAGCAGCACCGTAAGCAGCACCTGGGCGGGGTGGGGCAACAGACTGGTGGCCTCCATCATCGAAAACATGGTGCTGACGGCAATCGGCAAGTCGGGATGCATAAGGGCGAAATGCCGCATGTGAAACCCATCGACGCTGGAAGCCGTGCCTAACGCATAAGTCTTACTCACAGCTATCAAATCGTCCGCCGAGAGTACTTCCAAAGGCTCCAAGAACTCGAGGGGCTCCTGATCCTCAGGCGGCGGGTGCGAGGCAGACTCCCAGAGAGCCCCGAAACGTTCCCCTTCTGACTTCAGGAGGGACATGGGATCCGAGAGGACCAAGCCGTCGGCCGACAGCGTGGTCGTGGCCACCCAGGGCTTCAGCTCGCGGGTCCAGCGGTGGGCGTTTTTCCCCCCTTTGTCGACGCCGTCCAGAAGCCAACTACGCCACTCCTTTAAAGAACGCTGTGAGGAAGACTTAGCATACTCTGCTAATCTAGGTTCAAGTTGAGCGTGAAACTCTCGAAAACGTGAATCATCTTCGCAAACATCCTGAAAACCGAGGAGGAGTTCGCACCCAAGACGATAATCATCTTGAAACCCTTCCCAAGCACGTTGAACATGAGGAGGGAGATCCAGAAAATGGGCCCGATAACGCTTTGAAGCTCCAGAGTCTCCAGAGTCAAAAGCCCCCAAGATAAACCTCGTAGTCCTTGACAGCCACCTACCAGCAACTCGGCCAGGATCACGAGTCGGGGGTCGCGAATCTTTCTCCAGAGCCGAAACTCAGGCCAAACGAGGCCGGCGCCCACGGGAGCCCCAAATTATGAGCTCCGTCTGAAGGACCCTGGATAACTCCCATTCAGCAGCATCAGCCCAGACTCGGTACAAAACGTCTAGGTGCTTCTGGATTTTGCCTCTGGACGCTCGCCTCTGGATAAGCTCTCGCCCTTCACGGGCGCAGTCCAAAACGTGGGCGTGATCCTCCGTGCACGGCGCGGGTCCGATCGGACACTCTGCTGGCAATTTCGGCGGGCGGAGGAAAGTGAGGGCCTTAAGCTCAGCCAACTGCGGGTGGAAGAGAATGCGCACGGGCGTGTGCGTCTTGATGTCGCTACCGAGGACGGCGGTGACTTCCTGAATGCAGCGGGTAAAACCTGGCGGTAACGCAAAATAGTCCAGGACTCGTAGACCCCCAGTACTAGAACATGTGCCGATATCAGGGTATATAACATTCGCCTTCAGATATCCAGGGACCCCCGAAGAAACCAGGACCTCTGGGATCATATTGAAGTCGCCGCCTATCACGTTTGGACCCTCGTAGAGCGCGTGCCTGGCCGAAACGGCCGCCAGTATGTCGAGATTCCTGCTTGTAAGCTCTTCGCTGTCGTACAGGTAAACCGATGAGACCAAAACCGTAACGGCCCCTGGCACCTGGACGATCCCACTCATAGCCCTGGACGGGACGACGATCGGACCGAACTCGGGATCGTGAAAACCCCGGAAGGAGCGGACCAAAATTGCGACACCTCCCGAGGTGCCTCCTGCTGCGGTTCGAATAGCTGGATTGAATCGAGATTTCCAACCCCTCTTTAGTGCCCATTGTCCTGCCTTGGCTACGTCGTCGTCCGATACGATGTGGTGCTCTTGCGCGAGAACGATATTTGCAGACGTGGTTACAAGCCACGCCTCGATGGAAGACCAACTCGTACAGTTCACCGTTTCGATCGACAACTGGAACGTGCAATCAGGGCAGGGGGGCACAGATAAAAAACTTCGAGGGGTCGGAAGGAAAGTCGCCTCCTGGGGGCAACCTAAAATACTTAGAAGCGACGACAGAGGCCTCAGAGCTGGCCCCACACGCGTGGTGCAAGGCCTCACCCGACGACCCCGAAGTCGCCGCCGATGACCAGGTACTCCCAGTCGATCCAGACCAACATATTTTCGAAACCTTGTCGGGCTCCAGTGGGGATGAGGGAAAGGTAGCCGCTGGACTACCTTCTGCACGTGTGTCATGTCCCCCCTGCCAACTAGGCGCTGGCAGGGGGGCCTCCTTCTGCAAGTGGACCGAGAATACGATCTGCAGCACCAAGGAGGTCCGTTGCTGATGACGAGGCCGACGAAGAAGGTGGCGCCCCCGACGAAGTAGCTGAAGAGGTCCTCTCGCCTCCGCCGCGCGAAGGCGGAGCCGCATCAGGCTTGGTTCCCCCGTCGCCGTCGCCAGGTGCCGCTGCTGCCGCCGCACCTTCAGCACCAACCTTACGCTTCTTGCCCAGCCTGCCGACATGAGCTGCATGTGCCTGCTTGAGCTCGTCGAACTTCTGCTTCGCTTCTCCGAACAACTGGCGTGCCGAAGCCTGGATGGCCTCCTTGAGCTGGGTCGTGCGCTTCTCCAGCTCCTGAGTGTCGGCCTCCTGCACCTCGTACACCGAGCTGTCGATCCCGAACACCTCCTCCACGTTGGACATGTCCAGGAAGTCACTCTCGCCCGCCAGCAGGTCCTGCAAGGACACTCGTGCCTTCGGCTGGGCGGCTGGAGGTGGGCAGACCTGAATACGCAGCTGCTCCACCAATGTCTGGTACTTGCCAACCTCTGCGGCCAGCTCGCGACGAGTAGCACCGATGGACTCCTTCTTGTCGTGGGGCCAGTTGTGCCACTTAGTGTACTGATCCAGATCATGCTGAAGCTTCTTCCCCAACTGCTTGATATGACGATCGACCTGGTTCGCCTGAGCCTGGAGCGGCACTGGCGCATCGCCGACACGGCGCTTGTCCAGTCGATTCTGGAGGGCAGCGGCGGCCGACGAGTTGCCCATCTTCTTGTTGAGGGAGATGAGCTGCTGCAGCTCCTCCTCGGACAGCTTGTCTTCGTCGCCGGCCACAGGCGGGGGGCTGGTGCCTCCCTGGAGGCCCACGGGCAGGACCGCGGACGTGGCCCCAAGTGCAGCCCACTTGTCCCAGTCCGCCCAGGAGTCAGCCCAGGCGCCGCTGGGCGGCGGGGGCGCCGCTGCCTCCACCTCCTTGCGCTTGCCGTGGCACTGCTTGCAGAACCAGTATCGGGCCAGGTTCTTGCCACAGCCGCAAGCGCAGCACTTCCAGTAGCCAGCCGCATCAGCATCACGCCAAGGAGGAGGGCCCGCAGCAGACCAGCCTCCGCGACGACGAGACGGCGCCATGGCGGGCGCCGAAGGATGCGTGAGATTGCCTCTGATTCAGTCGCCTCCCGCGGGGAGACGAAACCTCAAGCGCCTCGGGACGGCACAGAGGCAGGCCCAAAAAACTCGGGCCCCAGTTGCTTGAGGAGGAGGAGGAGGAGAAGGAGGAGGAGGAGGAGGAGGAGGAGGAGGAGGAGGAGGAGAGGAAGAAGGAGGAGAGGAGGAGGAGGAGAAGGAGGGAGAAGGAAGAGGAGGAGGAGGAGGAGGAGGAGGAGGAGGAGGAGGAGGAGGAGGAAGAGGAGGCGGAGGAGCGGAGGAGGAGGAGGAGGAGGAGAGGAGGAGGAGGAGACGGAGAAGGAGGAGGAGGAAGAGGAGGAGGAGGAGGAGGAGGAGGATGAGGAGGGGTGGAGGAGGACGAGTAGGAGGAGAAGAGGAGGCGGAGGAAGAAGGAGGAGAGGAAGAGGAGGAGGAAGAGGAGGCGGAGGAGGGGAGGAGGAGGAAGGAGAGGAGGAGGAGGAGGAGGGGGAGGGGGGGGAGGAGGACGGAGGGGGAGGAGGAGGAGGAGGGAGGAGGGAGGAGGAGGGAGGAGAGGAGGAGGAGGAGGAGGAGGAGGAGGAGGAGGAGGGAGGCGGAGGAGGAGGAGGAGGAGGAGGAGGAGGAGGAGGAGGAGGAGGAGGAGGAGGAGGAGGAGGAGGAGGAGGAGAAGGAGGAGGAGGAGGAGGAGGAGGCGGACCTCCTCGTCCTCCGTGCTCCCCCTACATGTGGTAGTTGTGGTGGGAAATTTGCCCATCAGCGGGGAGCCTCGGTGTTGAACCCGGGGATGTTCTCGCGGATGAAGCTCGCCAGGTACCTCAAAGGGATAGGAGCTAGGCTCGTGCCGACCACCCGGCTAGTGGCCACCAGAGGCACGGTAGAAGCAGTGGCGGAATAAGGGAGCGGGAGGGGATGGGAGGGGGGATGGGGCGAAGGGTCCAAGGCGACAACAACAGCGAAACCCATCCGAACCGACAGCGAAGCCGTAAACGACCGAAAGCGACTGGCCGAAAGCAGCCTAAAGCGGCGACGTGACGGAGCAAGCGACCGAACTGAATTGGCCGAATATAGCCGACTGCAACGCAGCCGACCGAGCCGAGTCACGGACGCTCGTGGGGCTGCAGGTGGGGGCCTGCAGGCTTTGCAAATTTGCAGTTGCGCGCCACCAAGGAGCGTGCGGAGAAGAAGGGCGAGGGAGCAAGAACGAAGACGGTCATGGGCCACTTCCTATTCTAACAACGTCGAGGCAACCAGCGCTGAATATTAGCCGTGCAAACACCGCCAGCATAGCCAGCGTCGGGGACGGACAAGGAGACTGCAACACGCCGAACAAAGTTTAAAAGCTCGTCAACTGCATCCTCAGGACTGTATAAATTTGCGAAGGGTAAGAACAGCATTATCGACCAGCAAACATCGCGGAGGAGGAAGAGGAGGAAAGGCGAACCTCAAACGCCCCAACGTTCCTGCCGTGTGACTTCAGCAAAACCTCGCCCGCATCGGGGCCATCGCTGACCCAGGAAAAGATACGACAGCTACATTGCGTGTAAGTCGAGTGCAAACGCGGTTGCAATCATCGTCTGTGTTTCTTGTCTCACCCCTCCTCAACACGTACCCCTCCATCTGCCTTCTCGACTCTCCCCCCTCCCTTCACCTTCTCGCTCCTCATGCCAATATTGAAGCTCCTCCTTATCATCATCCTACGTCTACAGCCCCTCACCTCATCCACATTGAGATTCTCAAGGTCCTGCTCATCATCGCTCCCTCCCTTGCCATTCCACTCCTCCTGCCCATCTCACACCTCCTAGTACTTTGCAACATTCTATTCACTCTTCCTCCTCCTCCTCCTCCTCGTCCTCCTCCTCCTCCACCTCCTCGGCCTTCTCCTCGCCATCGTCATCCTTCACCTCGTTGTTGTTCTTCTCCTCCTCCTCCTCCCCCTCCTCCTTCTCCTCCTCCTCCTTCTCAAGCTCCACCGTGTCGTCCTCCCTGTCCTGCTTCTCGTCCTCCCACCTCCTCATGTTGCTCCTCAGTCTCCCCACCATTCTGCTCTTGCTCATTACGCCGTTGCTACTGCTACACCTCCGCCTCCCGGCGTCACTTCTCTGCGGAGAGCTCGTCCAATGCAGCGTGGGCAGGACTGAAACCTGATTCCGCCTGGTTGTGCAAGTCCATGGTCACGAACCTGCTGCAGAAGGAGGTGAGAAGGGTGTTGGGGGGAGGCGCGGCGAAATTGGCTGCACCTACTTCCCCCGATTGCAACGTCCAGTGGGGTCTCGGAGGCTCCTGGGGGGCCCAGACGCACCCCTGACCAACCCAGTGCCTAATTAGGCAACTCCAAAATGGCCCAAGAGACTTCCCCGAGGCCCCCAACAGCACCCCGAGACTTCCCCAAGAGGCCAGAATCCTTGAAACAACGCTTGCTCCTATATGAGCGTATCATACTCTGATATCGGTCGTCATAGCGTCGCAGGCGGCCGGATAGGCGTTCGAAGAGCTCAAACACGATCCCAAGATGCTCCGGGGAGGCCCCGCAGGGACCCTGATGCCCCCCTAAGAGGCCCCTCAGGGGCAGCCGAGAAGCGCAGAGACCGCCAGGACGGTCCAAGGCCCCGAAGACCCCGAAGGGAGCCTAACGAGGCCCAGGGAAGGCCCCCTAGCAGATGCCAAGAGGCCCACAGAAGCCTTCAAGACGCACCCAAGATCTTTCAGACATCAATCCATGGGGAAGGGTACCTCAGCATCCCAGCCACTCTAGACCACACAACCCCAGAAGGGTCCGTAGAGGGCCTAGAGAGCCCTGGGCGCCCCTGAGATACCGCAGCGAGCCAAAACATTGCCCCCCAACATGCTCCTGATATTGCTCAAGATGACGCAGGGACGCCCCTCGAGGGGGCAACAACATGGACGAGATGCATGATGGTCCATGGTTTCGGCCACGGTGTCCCAGGATCGCTCCGAGAAGGCCCCCACCGCTCCCGCGATTGCCGCAGACGCCCTACATAGACGCTCCCAAAAGATGCCCCCACGATGGTCCCCGCAGGCTCCAAGATAGCACCATCAATGCTGCAACACGATGTGGCCCGAGATGCCCCAAGATGGCCGACAGAGGCCCCAAGCCTGCCCCGCTGCAGCGACATGCTGGCTCAGCCTGGGGGTTCGGCGGAGGAGGGCCCGGCCCTTTCGGAGAAAGGCCAGCCTGCTCGTCGACGCTGGCCGCTATCACGGCGGTGGCCATGCTTGCACGCTCGTGGTCCAATGCCTGCCTGCTTGTTCACATCCACATGGCGCTCCGAAAACTATCGTGAATCGCACGCCGATCGAATCGCTACATCCATTGAACCGTCCCTGTCGTGCTTCATCCTCTCCTCCTTCCCCCTCCTCCTCCCTCTGCTTCCTCCTCCGGAAGAGCGATGGAGAGGTGCATGGTGCAAGTGGCAGCGGCAGCACCGGAGAAGGAACAGGAGGATGATGTGCAGTCGAGTGGGATGAGAGACAAGGGGCAGGAAGAGCGAAGAGGGGTGAGGAGGAGGGGAGAAGAGGAAGAGGCGGCTGGGGATGGCAGAGGTTGCCGATCTTGGGCAAGAGCCCCTCGCTTCCTGCGCACGCGACGCCCCATTTCAGGCATCCTTGCATCAGTCATCCAAATGGCCTCGTTCGCTGGCTTCCCCACGACGCTTTCCACGCGCCCGCTCCACTACAGCAGCCAGGGGGCGAACGTGCAGGCGTACCCGCAATCAAAACAAAGACCAGGATAGCGAGTTGGCGCTTCGCGGAAGGGCCTGCAGGTTCACCTCCGCTGGGCACTCGCAGGCGAGCCTCCCATGTCAACTGCACACACACACAAAACATGGTCCCAGGCAAGAGCGCCATTGGGTGTGCGGTTTGAGGATTCTCCAGCCGCCCAAGCACGGAAGGATCCCAGACTGGGCTGCAGTGCCCTCGTGAGCTTGGAGCTCTGGGCGGCGGGGCCGGGGTGACCAGGCCCCCCAGGCCGCGTGAGCAAAGCTCCGATGCAGGCCTGTGAGGAGCGGCACGCAGACGCCCCAAGCTGGGCGCGAAACAGTGGTTGCCACACTCCTGCGCAAAACCCTGCAATAAAAACCGCTGCAACGACCTCGAACACACGAGTCGCGCCAGCCAGTCAGTGGCGGCAGGAGTGCGAAATGGCGCCGGGAGTGCGACCTTTTGACGCCGCGGCCCGGCAGAGGCGATCCGCACGCGCGTCCGGGCAAGGCCGGGACACTTTTAAACAGTTTTTGTTACCAGTGATGACGGAGCCCAGTGGCACGACACGACAGACGAACGACGACGACGACGACGAACGGGCAAGACCGGGACACGGCATCGCGAAGTAGCCCGCGTGCAAGGGGGGAGGAAAAGAGGAGGGGCGGCCGCAGAGCAGAGGGCAGGGCGCGGGGGCACACCCACGCCAGCGAGGCTGCGGCGGGTGCGCGGGCGCGGCCGGGCGGAAGGGCAGCCCCTGGCAGCGGCTGCGTGTCGGCGCCGCAATGCACCCAGGGGTGGGTCTAGCAGCCTCAGGGCAGGCACTGGCCATCGCTCGGACGTCCATGTCCTGTGTTTTTTTCGGTTTCGTGCGTGGCTTTTTCGCCAAATGATCAAGGATTCTCCTCGATGGTCCCCACCGAGGAAAAAATGCACACGTCCGAGCGATGCCAGGGGCATGGCCCAGCAAGTCAGAGAGCGGGAGCAGCTAGCGGCCATAGACCCCGGGCGCCAGCGGGGAGGGGGGGGCAGCGGCGTGGGAGCCGGCGGCGGCAAGGGGAGGTGCGCCGGCGCTGCAGCAGCTGCGAGGGGCCCAGGTCGGCGATTGGCGGAGCAGGCCGCAGGGGGCAGCAGGGCGACTGGCCGACCAGTCACAGGGCACGGGCGCGATGGCAGAGGCGCTGGAGAAGAAGGAGCGCCACTTCGTAGACGGTGCACGGCCTCACGGCAAAGAGTAGGCGTCGCCCAGTCCCAGTGGCGCGCACGGGCGGGGCCCCGCTGGGGGAAGGACGAGCCCACCAGGCCGTCCAAGGGGGGGCCGAAAGGCAAAGAGTGGGAGGCGAGCCGCACAGGCGGTGGTCCTCAAGCGAAGCAGAGAGACTGCGGCCAGGGGCACGACCACCTGTGCGCGCAGGGGCAGCGAAGCGAGCGCCGGCGTGAACCGGCCTGGCGCGTCGCTCGCTGGGCGAGAGCGGTGCGCGGGCGGGGTGGAGGCGTGCCGGCCCAAGGCTGGTGCACGGCATCACGCGATGCCGTGATATCACGGCCATGGACCAGCAGGGAGGGACGGGCCGCTACGCGGGGCCGACCGGGGGGGGGGGGGGGGCGCCAAGGACGGCAACCACGAGGCCAGGAGTGAGGCCACACTGGGTGCAGAAACGGGGGGCGGAAGAGCGTCCGCGCCCGCGGCCGGCAGAACCGAGGCCTGAAGTGCGGAGCGCCCTCTCAGCCTCCACGGCAACATGGCTGGGCTCCCTCCGTCGCTGCCCCTGGCAGCGGGGGGAGCTGGGGCTGGCGGCCGAGGGGCCTCTCCATCTCGGGCAGCTCGCTCGCGAAAGGCAAGTCGGAATCCCCCGACGTTCCCGGATCACTTTGGTCTACTTCTCAGGGCCCACCAGGAGAGCGGAGCCGCGCTTTTGGCCCTCGCGTCTGCGAGCCGATGTCCCTCGCAGCCCTCGCAGGCCCCACCGGGCCCGCACGCCGAAGATGCATCCCGTGGACTCCAGCACCAGGCGGAGGCGGCCGAGGAGCGGCGGCGACGGGAGCAGGGGCGCGGAGGAGGTGGCGGCCGCGTCGGCATTGGCACTGGCGGCGGCAGCGCCCGAGGGGGTGGGGCGCGAATGCATAGGGGGGCGAGAGAAGGCGGGGGGAAGGGGGGGAAGACAGGTGCACTGCTCGGGCCCTCAGGGCCCCCTCTTGGGCCCCGAAGGGCCCCCTTTCAGGGGCTCTAGCTAGGGCCTCTTTCTGCAGCCTTAGCTGCCCCCGCTCTATCGCGCGCCCAGGCGGCGCGGGAGGGATGAATGAATGAATGAACAGCGCCTCGAAAGGTCGGAAGGTGACAGCACCAAAAGCATAGCATGCTGAGCCACAGGCTCAGCCGCGCGCGCCGCCGCGGCCGCGGCGCGCCGCGGGCCGCCGGGCGCTCACGGCGCGGGCGGGCCCCCCGCAAGCGGGCAGCACGGGGATGGCAGGGCCAGCTCCCCCGCCACGTTCTGTCGGGCGGACAACACCCCAGCCGGAAACAACCGGCCCCCGACAGAACGGACAGAGGCCAGGCCCCACCAAACCCCCACCACCCACCCCAGGGGCCCGCAACGACACGACAGACGACGACAGCGACGGCGACGACACGACGGGGAAGACGGACCCCCAGCCACGACTCCCACGGGGGACACCTGGCTGGGTAGCCAGGCTCCCGTGGGAGGATGCGTGGCCGGGGGCCCCCCGGGAAGGGGACCCCGCTTTGGGGGCCATCCCGGGCGCGGGGACTTTTCCCCCGAAGGCCCGGCGGTCCCCGCCTCCGGAGGAGGAGAAGGAGGAGGAGGAGGAGGAGGAGGAGGAAAAGAAGGAGGAGGAGGCGGATGAGGATGAGGAGGAGGAGAAGGAGCAGGAGAAGGAGAAGGAGGAGGAAGAAGAGGAGGAAGAGGAGGAGGACGAGGGGGAGGAGGAGGAGGAGGAGAAGGAGGGGGAGGAGCAGGAGGGAGGAGGAGGAGGACAACGAGGAGAAGGAGTAGGGGGGGGAGAGGAAGAGGAGGAGGAGGAGGAGTAAAAACAAGAGGAGGAGGAGGAGGAGGAGGAGGAGGAGAGGAGGAGGAGGAGGAGGAGGAGGGGGAGAAGGAGGAGGAGGAGCAGAGGGAGAAGGAGGAGGACGGGGAGGAGGAGGAGAAGCAGGAGGAGGGAGGAGGAGGAGGAGGACGAGGAGGAGGAGGAGGAGGGAGAGGGAGGAGGAGGAGGAGGAGAGGAGGAGGGAGGAAGAGGAGGAGGAGGAGAGGAGGAGGAGGAGGAGGAGGAGAAGGAGCAGCAGGAGGAGGAGGAGCAGGAGGGGGAGGGGGGCAGGCCTGTCGGCGCCGGCCGTGACCATGAGGTGGAAGAACAGCTTGGGGGCAATCGCCTCTGGGGCGGCGGCACCGTCACGCGCCGCCGCCGTCCGGGCGGGAGGCCGGCGGGGATCGCGGCGGGCAGGCAGGGCGGCACTGGATCTGCATTGCGCGTGGACTTCGCCGGAGACTCGGGGGGGAGAGAGAGAGAGAGAGAGAGAGAGAGATATATATATATAGAGAGAGAGAGAGAGCGAGACAGAGAGAGAGAGAGAGAGATACAGACAGACAGACAGACAGACAGACAGACAGACAGACAGACAGACAGACAGACAGACAGACAGACAGACAGACAGACTGATAGACAGAAAGGAAGAAAGACATATAGAGACCGAGAGAGAGAGGGCGAGAGAGAAAGAGAGATAGAGAGAGAGGGAGGGAGTGAGAGAGAGGAATGGGAGAAGAGATACAAGGAGGGACGGATGGGGAGGAGGATGATGGGGAGGAGGCGGGCTGAGAAGGACAGAGCAGAGTGGACAAGGACGGAAGAGGAGGGATAGAGGGAGAGGGAGGGAATGAGAAACGTGCAGATCTGGAGTACTTGCAGAGCGAATCTCTGCCACGAAAGGTAGAGCACCAAAAACCAGCAATGGCGAAGCCAAACTCACACAACGATGCCACCGAACGCTTCTGCGCCCCCGTTATGGAACCACGGATCGCTACCCGAAAGCGCGCAAATACTGTGCTTCGCGGGAGCTGCACACGCAAACATATGTACATGTACATACACAAAGATATTTATATATATATATATATCGACATATCGGCAACTATATATATATATATATATACAGATCGATCGATAGATAGATAGACCGGTATACATATAAATAAATGAATATATGCATGCGTGCGGGGATTCATTCTCGACATTGGCGTCGTTGGCAGGGACGAAAGCGGGGACCACGAGGATATTGGCCCCCTCTAGGGGCCAAGCTCTAGCCTAAATCGGTGCGCCACCCCGAAACGACGACCACGGCGTCCCCTGGACGATTGCTTTAACGGTCGGCGTTGCGGCCGGCGCCCATGACACGCAGACACACACATACACACGCACACACACATCTATGAGTATGTATACGTCAAAGTATGTTTGAATACACGTGCACGGGCAAGTGACTCAACATGTGAATTCAAATGATACCCGAGAAACACACAAACACAATCTTTTTAGAGCTATAGGGCAGGGACTATAGGGCGATAGCGCCATAGGGACATAGGTCTACAGGGCTATAGGGCTATAGGGCCATAGGGTTACAGGGCTGTAGGGCTACAGGGCTATAGAGCTCTGGGGCTATAGGGCTGTAGGGCTATGAGGCCATAGAGCTATCGGGCTATAGGGCTATGGGGCTATAGGGCTATAGCATCATAGGGCTATAGGGCTAGAGGCATTTGGAGCTGTGGGGCTATAGTGCTATAGGGATATAGTGCTTTACGGCTGTAATGCTATAGTGCTATCGGGCTATAAAGCTATATGGCCATTGGGCTACAGGGCTATAGAGCTAGAAGTCTGTAAGCCTATGGGGCTATGGGGCTATAGGGCTATAGGGCTATGGGGCAATAGGGCTGTAGGGATGTAGGGCTGTGTGGCTAAGGAGCTATATGGCCATAGTGCTAAAAGGCTACAAGGCTATAGGGCTATGGGCGGCTATAGGGCTACAGGCCTATAGGGCTATAGGGCTATGAGGCGCTCAAGCACCCAGGCACCCGGGCACCTGGGCAGCTGGGCATGCGGGCGGGCCGCGGAAATCGGTGGCAAACCTCACCCAACCTTATGAATCCGCTAGGACCCCTTCAAAGGCAAGCTCTGATTTGGGAAATGAATCCGCTAGGACCCCTACGGAGGCAAGCTCTGATTGGGGAATAACTTCTCCCTGTCGCACCCCGGGAATAACTTCTCCCTGTCGCACCCCTGTCGCACCCTGAGACTTCCTCACCATTTTCTGATTCTTTAATTTGAAATTTGGAAACAGCTTCACATGGAGGGCGGGTGGTTTTCAACATGTGGCTCTCGCCTGAGCGCCGCGCACATTCGTTCTAAATAGGGCGATGGGGCTATAGGGCTATAGGACCATAGGGCTGTAGGGCTGTAAGGCTATAGGGCTACAGGGCTATAGGGATATAGGGATATAGGGCTACAGGGCTGTAGGGCTAAAGAACTATAGGCCTATAGGGCTGTAGAGCTATAGGGCTGTAGGGCTATTCGGCTTTAGTGCTATAGGGCTACAGGGCTATAGGGCTATAGGGTTATAGGGCTATTGGGCTGTTTGGCGATCGTGCTATAGAGTTATAGGGCTAAATGGCTATAGAGCTATCAAGCTATAGGGCTCAAGGGCTCTAGGGCTATGGGGCCATAAGGCTACAAGGCTATGAGGCTATAGGGCTATAGGGCTGTTGGGCCATAGGGTTGTAGGGGTATTTCGCTTTAGGGCTATTGGGCCATAAGGCTATAGGGCTGTACGGCTATAGGGCTATAAGGCACCCGGGCACCTGGGCGGGCCGCGGAAACCGGTGGCATGTATATATGGACAAGTGAATAAACCTGTGTATATGTCTTTGTATAAATGTGTATTTTCGCCACCGTGCCTCTGGCACGAAGTGGAATGCCCCAAGGCTCATGCAACCCTGCAAGGTCGAGAGTTTGTAAAGCTCTGATGACCTGGACCCCCGGTTTCCCAAGCGCTCCCAGGAAATTGTGGGAGATCCTGGGAGCTCCCGGGGTGTGTCGCGTGCGCCTTCCGGGAGCCAGGAAGGCACCAAAACGGGCCGAGAAAGCCCTGAGAGGCCGCCCAGATGGTCCAAGAGGGCTCCCAAGTCGCCCCATGACCGCCCCGAGGCGCCCAAGATGGCCGCAAGGCGGCTAAAGGGGACCCCAATAAACTCCAAGGGGGCCCCAAGAGCAGCCCCAGGAGGGCCCCGCGAGGCTCCCAAGAAGCCCTCTGCAGCCCCCCCCCAAAGAGGCCCAAGAGCCAAGAGCTGCCCCCGGGAGGTCCCCGAGAGCCCACGCGACGCACCACTGAGGACTCTGACCTACAACCAAGGCACGGTGGCGGGATGGGCCAAATGCCATTAGAGTGCGTGTATAAATAATGCTGATAACAACCATCTAGTGAAGATAATAATAATATTACAAATGCTCATTCGAATGATAACTATGTTTGAAACGAAAAAAGCTTGCAAAGCAAATACTGACGAGCGGTGGGGGTAAAACTGCTCCCTGCCGGCACGGCTCGAGATGACAGGCGCAAAAGCGAGCGCGCTGCATCTTGCCCTCGCCTCGCCAGCCTCGAACTTCCTGTCCTGCCTCGCGTACTCCACGCATGGCAGCACCACAGTGATCCTGAAGACAGCGCTTTCACTGGTTTGGTCAATGTGCCCTAGGGGGGTGCACCGAAAGTTTGCAGCAAGCTGCCAGAATGCGGAGTGACAGCGCTTATCCAGTCCGCCGAGGGTTGCGTGGCCGAGGATACAGTGCGAACTATGGCCATGACCACATGCAGCACTGCTTCCTCGCCAGCATTCTGCTCCCGCCACGAAGACGCGGCTCGCTCGGCTGTGCGCTGTGTATCTGCCTGCCGTGGAAGACGCTGTTGTGCTGCCATCCCACGCCCCAATTCGACGTAAACAACACGCGTCACGTCCATCATTCCCCTGCTTCCTTGTCCATACACGGGTATCCCACTCCCTTTGTCTCGCATCGCCAGGGCTCCCCTTACCCGCTGCTGGCAATCGTCGTGATTATCATGGTTCGATGTGGGCTTCCTGTCTTTTTGTCGCACACCTTGGAAAGGGGACGCGTTAGTGGACGCGCCAAGGGAACATACCAAAGCGTGCCAGAGCACGAGCCCTGGGACGCGCCAGTGCCACAGGACGCAGCAAGGGACGCGCCAGGGGACGCGCCAAGGGACCTGCCCGGGGACGCGACGAAGGGACGTACCGCGCGGCGCGCCACGGGACTAGAGGGCAAACAATCCACCCCCATAATAATCACCCCGACAAGCGAGGCCGTTCAGTAAACGCACCCAACGAAGGAATCGAACAGGGCAGAGCTGTTGAGTAAACGCCCAGGGCCGTTTAGCAAATGCCAATTATCGGGTCGGGGTGTTTTTTCCTCCCTTGAGTGACGTGCAAGGGGATGCGGCACGCTGGTACAATAGAAGCCCGACCACAAGAAACCTTCCACAAGAGACCCACCCCTGGAACCCCAGAGCGTCCCGTGATTCCTGGTGTGGGGACGTCGCGCCTTCCATCGCAACATCATCGAAGCCCAACACACCCAGGGCACCCTGGAGGCAAGCAAGGTGTTTATTGGCATGGGTCTCCCCTGTATGAGACGCGCCAGGAGAGACTCGCCAGGGAGGCACCAGGGGACTTGCCGCCCGACGCACCAGGGGACGTGCCCCCCGGCGCGCCAGTGGACGTGACTTCCAGGCGGGACGTCCCGAGGGGCGCGCCGGCGAACAGGCCAGTGAACACAGCAGGGAACGTGCCGAGGGACGTGCCGTGGGACGTTCCACGCGACGCACCAGGGAATGCGCCAAGGGACTTGCCAGGGGGCGCAACAAGGTGCGTGCCAATGAACGCGGCAAATGACGTGCCATGGGACCTGCCACGCGCCGCGCCAGCGGACGTGCAACGGGAAATGCCAGGGGGCGCGCCAGTGGACGAGCCAGGGGGCTTGCCAGGGGTCGTGCCAGAGTATGTGCCGCGCAACGTGCCAGGCGAAGCGCCAGGGGACGAGAGAGGAAATGCTCTAGGGGACGCGGCACGGGATGTGACAGGGGACGTGCCACGGGAATTGCCAGGGGCCGTGTCAAGGGACGAGCCAGGAGGCGTTCCAGGAGATGAGCCAGGGGACGTGCATGGGGACGGCGCCCGGGGACGCGCCACGAAACGCGCCAGCGGACGCACCAGGGGACGAGCACTGGGGACGCACCACGGGACACGCACCAGAGAACGCGCCAGGACAGGTGCCACGGGACGCGCAATGAGACGCGCCAGGGACGTGACAGTGCACGTGCTGGTGGTCGTGCCAGGGGACGCGACAGGGGACGCGCTTGGGAAAGTGCAAAGGGACGTGCCATGGAAAGCGCCAGGAGACGCGCCAGCAGACTCACCAAGGGACGCGCGGGCGGATGCGCCGAGAAAGCGCGCCCAGAGATGCGCCAGGGGACGTGCCGCTGGATGCGCCATGGGACGCGCCGGAGGAATCGCCACAGGACGTGCCAGTGGACGTGCCAATGGACTCGCCAGGGGGCGTGCCATGGGCCATAGGAAGTGCCACGCGACGTACCGGGCGGCGCACCAAGGGAAGAGTGGTGTCGTGGGACGCGGCAAAGGAGACATGCCAGGGGACTGCCCGGGATGCGCCACGGGACGCGCCCGGGGACGTGTCGGGGGACGTGCCCGCGGGACGTGCCAGGAGACGCGCCAAAGGGACGCGCCAGTGGACTCGCCGCGCGACGTGCCAGGGGACGCGCCAAAGGGCGGCGTGCCAGGGAATGGGTTCGGGGGCGCTCGGAAGCCTCCAGGGGCCTCCTCGGGCCGCCGGGGGCCGCTGCAGGCCTCCCGGAGCCTCCTGGGGCGTCCTGGGGCGCCCGGGTGCCTCACGGGGCCCCCCTATATCAGACCTCCGCCCCCCGTTCTCGCTGCCTATGGGGTTCCATGCGGAAGCCACGGGGTCAGAGACGATCTGTAGCGCAGAACGTTTCCCAATACAGTCGGGCCGCTGAAAGACGGAACGCAACAGAAGGAACGAAGCCCCTTCTTGGCCCCGTCAGCGCCTTCTTGGCCCCAGGCGGGCAAGAGGAACGGCACTGGAGGAATCTAAGGAACATCGAGCCCCTTCCGAACCCAAACTGTTCCTGATTTCAGCGTCTGGACTCTGCGCGTGCCCGGGAGCTCTCCACAAGGTCCCTCGGAAGCTCCCTCCAGGTCCTTCCAGAGTGCTTCGGCAGGCCCTGCACACGGCCTCGTGGCGCCCTGAAACCATGGGATCAGAAGCGATCTGTGTAGAGAGCAGAAAATCCACCCCCAGAATAAGCACCCCGACAAGCGAAGCCGTTTAGTAAACGCATCCAAGAAAGAAACCAAACAGTGCAGGGCTGTTTAGTAAACGCCCAGGGCCATTTAGTAAACGCCAATTGTCGGGGTCGGGGTGGCTTCCCCCCCTTGACTGCAACCCACAGGATCAGAAATAGCTGCGCCTCCGAGCTCAACTTCTCGCCGCTGGTTCTACGCAAAAGCTCTGGACCCAAATTCTCATGTGGAACAGAACAAATCTCTCGGGATCCCGTTATGCATTCATCAAGGATCAGCAATGAGGGCGGTGCTTTCCTCCAGCCGGCATGCGGGGGATACAAAGAGCGGGCCCGCACCCGTTATTTCATGGAACATGGCACCTTGAACAAATTACGAACTAAACGACAAATGCTGGCCGACGCCTTTTCTAGAAAAAATGTGCGCTCCTGGCTCGCGACCAGAGCTGCATCCGTCAGCCTTGTAGTGCCTGCCGTTGCCACGAATGCCCATACTTTGCCATGCACTGCCATACAATGCTTTTTGCCCCTGCCTAGTGTCATTACTAACCCCAGGTTTGCTTGCATTGCTCTGCCCAAGATCCCGCAATCTTCCCGCATGGCGTCGGGGATGCGCCATGACGATGAAAAACGGGAATTCCCGAGCCCAGCGTCCCTGACTGCATACAGTCAACCCGTACAATAAGGACGCACCATAAGGGTGCTAAGGCATTGGAAGGCAATGTCGACACCTTGCGAACGGGGCGTGGCAGCGAAAGCGACCAAGGATGGGCCGAAGCGGAAGGATGCAAGGGAACCTTGGAGAGTCGCTCATCCTTACTATCCGGTTCGGGGATCGGCTACAACATTGATTTGCCCAAGATATGTTTTTTTCCTGACGAAGTACGTAGGATTATCCATGGATCCACCGGACTCGACGGGGAAATCAATCCAGGGGTAACTAATTCATTCAGTCGATCCCTCAGTCGAACGATGCGGGTTGCCTGTACCGACAGGGACGTGGCCCGAGTGGCACAGTACTGCCACGCGACCACAGGAGGAAACATTGTATCCTGTGCGGCGCTTCGGACTTCAGCGCGTCGAGCATCATGAGCAATTGCTGATGGGCCAATTTCCCACCACCACCACCACCACCATAGGTAGGACGAGGGAGAAGGGAGGATGGGGAGCTCCTCCTCCTCCTCAAGGGAGGATGGGGAGGTCCTCCTCCACTACCTCCTCCTCCTCCTCATCTTTATCCTTCTCCTCGCTGTAGAACCTATGGTAGTGGTGATGGAAAAACGGCCCATCAATTGCATCAACATGAAATTCACCTCGCACTCGCAGTCGTCCCTGGAACAGACCACGAAGACGTCGTGGTTTGCCACCTGCACACCCGGCAAGCGGGCACGGGCTCAAACGGAAACTCGGGGTTGTCAGCGACAGGGGGGCGAGGAGGAGGACGAGGAACGAGGAGGAGGGGGAGGGGGAAAGGAGGAGGAAGGAGGAGGAAGGAGGAGGAGGAGGGGAAGGAGGAGGATTGCGCGGTGCATAAAGTAAGCCCGTAGCCGCACGTTCAGAGAAGCCGACTCTGCCCGGCTGCCCAGAGACGGCGGAAAGAAACGGAGGCAGCGCACGCCTCCTTTTCTTTCCGCCCAGGGGTAGGCCCCTCCTCCTCCTCCTCCTCCTCCTCCTCCTCCTCCTCCTCCCCCTTTGCCCAGGGGCAGACCTCAACATCTCAGACACACGCGAAGATGGATTGCGTATCCGTAGATCTGGCGCGTGGGCGCAGGGGAAAATGAAGGCACCGCCAGTCGGGACCCGTCGCTAATCCACGCGCCTGGATTCATGTTCAAGTTTCATCAAACATCTTCCCCATCCTCTCCGCGTCCCCCTGCCTGAGAGGCCGCCTGTCCAGACTCGCGGGTGCGCGAGCTCGAAGTGGACCCAGGACGCTGCAGCCGCGCGCTAGCCCAGCGCCGGGCGCATTGTTTAGTAGGCCCGAGGTGACCACGAATCGAACAGTTACACTTCTCCAATTCCTTCCTCCTCCCTCCCCCTTACTCCTCTGACTGCTTTCCTCGATCCTAGCAAGGGGGAAAAGAAAGGAACGAAGAGGACCTGTCTGTGTGCTCCTCCAAGTGACGTGTAAAGTTGGGCGCGGGAGGAGAGGCGGGGGGGGGAAGATGGCGGGAGCGCAGGGTGCAACTGGCAGGATGACACGGCGAAGCGGGGCGGCGCCAGTCGCAAGCGACCGCGCGACGGCCGCATGGAGGCCTCCGGGAGTGGGATGGGAAGGAAATCGCTGCTCTGCCCATCCCCCCCATCTCCTCCTCCTCCTCCTCCTCCTCCTCCTCCTCCTCCTCCTCCCTTTCCTCCTCCTCCTCCTCCTCCCCGGCAGGGAGCATGGGGGAACGGCGACGGAGGAGGAGGAGGAGGAGCAACAAGGGGGAGGGGAAGGAAGCACGGAAAAACACCCATAACCGGACGGGCCGGGCCGGGGACCAGGCATACGGGCACTAAGGCACCGACATCGACCAGGCGGCACGCAGGCGGAACGCTGCAGCGCCTGGCCGTCTGAGTTTGCGGGAGGGGTGGTGGTGGTGGTGGTGGTGGTGGTGGTGGTGGTGGTGGTGGTGGTGGTGGTGGTGGTCGTCGGGTTCTTCGGGGTGACAAGTGTCGTCGGGGCTGCCAGGGTCGTCGTGGGGCAATGGGGTGGTCGTCTAGGGTGGGCCGGGGGGCTTGGTCGGCATTGACCCGCTCGGGCAATGCACTGGGCGCCACTGGAACCCGCCCGCCGCTAGACCGTGGGAGATGGACCTAGCCGCAGGATGGGGGGCAGTATGGCCAAACTCGGTGATTAGCTTTGGTGTACCTGTGTCGCCGAGGCTGGGTGTAGCAGCGGCGCAGCTCGTCACGGGATCTGAGGCCCGCGGAGCAAGTGCCACCTCCGCGGGGTCTCTCCTTTCGTCGTCGTCGTCGTCGTCACCATGATCTCTCCCGTTTCCCGGGCTCCTTCCCCTCTCTTCGGCAAGCCGTGCTTGCCAAACCGCTCAAAACTGTCCTCCTCCTCCTCCTCCTCCTCCTCCTCCTCCTCCTCCTCCTCCTACTTCCTCCTCCACGGGCTCGGGCTCGAAGGGGAGGGAGCCGGGCCGAGCGCTGGGGCCCCATCCGCGCCAAAGGCCAGGTGATGCCCGCGCTCCGTCGGGCGGCGCGGGGGGAAGACAGCGAGGCGGCGGCGCCCGCCTGGCGGATCCGAGCCCGCGTGGCCGACCTTTCTCGACGAGCGCGCTCCACGACTCGCAGAATAACTACTCGCAAATGGCCTGGATCCCCCGCGCGGGATCTACGATCAATTCCATCAAAGCAGGCAGGTGTTTTTGAGGCACTCTGCGAGTAGTGGAACGCGCTCGGCGACTTTCGATCACCCGAAACGGACCGCCCGAAACCGAACCGTCCCGAGGCAAAACCGAACCGGCTCAAACCGAACTGGCGCCGAACCCGAACTGCTACAGCCGAACCGTCCCGTTGCCGAACCGACCCGAATCGGCCGGGCTTCATTGGGCTTTCGAACGGACCAGCGGTGCGGGGCCCAACCCTGGGAAGTACGCTGGTGGGGCGTCCATCCTTTGATAGAGGTGCGTCCGAATAGCTCCCTGGGGGTGTGTCCCAGGGTGTCCCTCCTATTCTGAGCGGCCAGACTCTTCGGGTGGAGCTCGGGGCTTTGGGGAGCAAAGTCGTCGCCTGCGAAGGAATGTCTCGCGGGAAGGGCCATGGCAGAGACGATCATCGCAACGTCTCGCGCAGCGCAGCGCAGCCCCCCCCCTCTCCCTCCTCCTCCTCCTCCTCCTCCTCCTCCTCCTCCTCCTCCTCCTCCTCCTCCTCCTAGCCCTCCTCCTCCTCCTCCTCCTCCTCCCCTCCTAGCCCTCCTCCTCCTCCCCTTCCTCCTCCTCCCCTTCCTCCTCCTCCTCCTCCTCCTCCTCCTATGCTCCTCCTCCTCCTCCTCCTCCTCCAGTCCTTCTCCTTATAGACAACTTCCCCCTGTCGCACACCGAGGCCAGTTATTAGGGCGGGCCGGGCGTTTCGCCTGAGACTTCCTCACCATTTATGACTCTGAAGCTTAAAAAATGGCAAAAGTTTCACAGATGCAGGGCGGGTGGTTTTCAAGATGTGACTCTCGCCTTAGCGCCGTGCTCATTCGTTTTAACATTTGAATTTTACAGATTGAGGGCGGGTCGTCTTCGAAATGTGGCTCTCGCCTTAGCGCCACGCACATCCATTTCAAACACATTGCAAGCGTTTCACGGATTGAAAGCGGTTTCTTGTTCAAAATGTTGCTGTCGCCTTAGCACCGTGCACATTCATTCTAAACATTTGCAAGCGTTTCACGGATTGAGGGCGGGTCGTTTTCGAAATGTGGCTTTCGCCTTAGCGCCGCGCGCATTCTTGTTTGAGGGGGGTAAAATTTGCAAGAGTTTCAAAAAGGTTGAGGACGGCTCCTTTTCAAAATGTGGCTCTCGCCTTAGCGCCGCGCACCTTCGTATTCAAGGTTTTCACGGGTTCCCATGATCAACGTACCAGACATGCTGTGTTGGAGGGGTTCGAGACTATGCGGGCGCGACAGTTATGTTGATTTGCGGTGTTGAAGTCCCAAAAATGGCATTCTGGCACGATTCCGGATCGTCAGGACAGGTTGATACGTGGCGTTGAAATCCCGAGAGCAATGTTTTGGCACGCTTCAGGAACCTCAAACGGTTGTCTTCCAACGAAGCAATTTCCTTCAATGGAAATGCACCGTTGTAGGGGACTATTTTTGGGAGCTTGGAGGGAGGGTTCATTCCAACATCGTTGATGGTTCTTGGGTTTACACTGGTCCTCCTTCTCCTCCTCCTCCTCCTCCTCCTCCTCCTCCTCCTCCTCCTCCTCCTCCTCCTCCTCCTCCTCCTCTTCCTCCTCCTCCTCCTCCCTCCCCCACGCTGGTGGATGCCACGGAAGAGGAGTCACCGAAACTCGCTGTGGGTGCTGGCACGCCGCGTCCGCGAGCGCAGCCGCCTCGTGGAAGCGCGGTCGAAAGTCGGCGGCCCAACAAGGGGAGGCGGCGGAGGGAGGCCAGACGGGGACTTCGGCCAGGTCACCACCGCTGGCACGGTAGGAGGCCCGGTCCTCAGAATCGACAGCCCAGGCGCTTGCCCGGCGCCGGGCAGCTCGCCAGGCTGAGCGGGCGTCGTCCCCGGCAGCACCCCTGCAGTTGGGACATGCTGCACTGGTCCTCGCCATGAGGAGTCCAGGGGCGTCTGCCCTCGAATCTCGTGCCTTAGGCTTCCCGAGGTGCCCCTGAGAAACCCGTGGGTCCCAAGGGGCTTCCCGTGGGGCACCTGCAGGTATGCCGGCTTCTCTCTTGACGTGCGTACTGGTGTCGTTGTCACTGTGTCTAGCCAGGTCGGAGCTTAAGCGCGGCCTGAAACACAACTTGCGGAATCGGAAGAGGAAACGAGCATCCACAAAGCCCAAACGTGAAGTATCAGATTTATGTTTCTTGCGAGGGTCCCCAACAGCGTGAAAACAAGTGACATGACAATCGACCCGACTTCTACTCGTACTGCTTCCAGCCAGATTTGTACTCAGCAGCTCCCTTGGGCACAAAACTGGACAGAAAGCGCCTGTCGTGTTTTTGTTGGTCACGACGCCCTAATTTGACTGGGTGGGGGTGGGTAGGCGCGCGACTCTTTGCACTGCAGCTATATCCCAAAGCCGCCGACTGCTCCAGCTTCACGGAAATCTCGCCGTTCGCGAAGGTGCGGAACCGCGACTTGCCGATGGTCCAACTCAGGTGCCCCACGACTTTCTCGCACAGGTCCCTCCCTTCCCGCACGGAGAAGATCGGCGGTGGACAAACCTCCCTTTCTCAGACCTCCCCTTCGCGAAAATGGCCTGGGACCGGAGCCGACGGACCTGGATCCGCAAAAATGACGGCCGCGACGCCCTCTCGCGAAACGAGAACGGCCAATTCCTGAATCGACGTGTCAGGGTACTCCAGATTTCGTAATAAAGGGAGGGGGGTCTCATTTCGGGGGGGGGTCTTTTCCAAGCTATCTTGGAGGGCCTGCGGGGGTCTGGGGACGATGTTTTGGAGGGTCCTCCCACGGGGGGGGGTCTGAAATGGCTTGTCTTGGAGGGTCCAGACCCCCTCCCTTTTATGACGAAGTCTGGGGTAGGAGGTCGGTCCACCCCCGAGAAGAAAGAATGGAGCGGGGCCGGGGGGGGAGCTCCCGGATGGGAGGTTAAGGGGCGCGACTAGGAGGGGAGCCTCCCCGGATCCCCTCCACTGGGTTTGGGCAGGCGGGGGGGGGAGGGGCGCAGGCCGGTAGAGCGCCCAAGATGGCCTTCAGAGGGTCCCAGGTGGCCCAAGATCGCCTTTGATCGATGGTCTCCTGGATGGGCCCATGAGGGCCTTCAATGCCCCCCAAAAAACCGTACGAGGGCTCCAAGAAATCCGGGAATTCATTCAGAATGGACCCAAGAAGGCCCAGGTAAGCTGCCAAGGGTCTATCATACCGAGAAAGTAACGAGGGCACTCCTGGTTGACTCCTGGATCTTCTCGGGCTGATCCCGAGCTTCGGTTCGACGGCTGCCCCTCCCCTTGTCCCATTGCTTGCCGCTGCACCTCCCTGGTCATGGCAGAACGCCTTGGTTTCGTTTCTGGATGGGCTGGTGGGGTTACGCAAAGCATGCCTTTTTAGTACGAGCGGGGCAAACAAACGTCAGCATCAACGATAACATGAAGGCCGGAGCACAAATATCAGAGGAAAGAGAGACGACAGGCAAACAACCGACAAGACATGACAAAATGCCACGGCGGAGAGGAGAATGCAGAGCGAGGAGAGGGAAGCAGGAGCAGGTCGGAGAAAGGATGGCGCTGGCAGAAGGACAGCGGAGGGAAGGATGGGTCGAAAGGAACAAAGCGGAATGAAGACTGACCGGGGCTCGCGGACGAAAGATGATGCTGTTGAGAAGTGCAGGTCGGTGAACCGTGTGCGGCAAACGTGGACGGAAGAGAGGGATACACCTTGCGCGCCTGATGTCACGGAGGAGGGAGGATGCAACAAAGCGGAAGTAGACAAGACGATGGGCGGTGGCAGCTACACGTAGGAGTGAATGAAGGAAGCAGCGGGGTGAGGCAAATGGAGCACGTGTCAAAAATGAACAAGAACACACGCGAGGAAGGCAGGGCACCCATTCCGTGGAGGACAGGAGAAAGATCGAGGAGTGAGGGCGAACGGACACTCGACACAGGCCCTGGCTACAACGTCCAATCCAGCCCCCGCCCCTCTCCCTCCCACCTCCTCCTCGCCCCCCCCCTCCCGAGGGAGGGCGAAGGGGGAAGGTCAAGATTTGCAAAAGATATGTCCCCCTCCCGAGGTGTCTCCCCAGCTTTCCGTGCCTTCTTGAAGCCCCTGGGGACCTCTGGGCCTTGTGAGAGGCGATCTGGAGACCACATGGGCCTCCCTGGAAATCGTGGGGGAAGCTCGGGCCAAAGACACCTCTTCGCAGCAACCGAGAGAGAGAAGGATGGGAAATGATTGCACCGGCAACCGCAACCAGGCCCTCCCAGAACCTTTTTGCATGGGCGGATGCAAGGTGCAGCGGGCCGGCGCTGCGCCCACAGGAGCGCCGGCCGGTCGTGCCCAAGCCCAGAGGGCAAGGGCCAAGTGAAAGCAGGCAAGGACGAGGACAAGGGGTGAGGCTCTGGACGACGACGAGGACGAGGAGTTGGAGGGTTTCGACGACGTGATACTTGACGCTTGCGCCCGTGCGGTTGGCCACTGGATCGCCAAATCAGATCCAATCTGCTCAAAGAGGCGCTGACGAGTGAGTGCGAAGACCTGGACTCGCCACAGATTCTTGACACTTGAAACGAATCCAGAATCTCTCCCAGGTGCGCCCAGATGGCTGCATTCGCGCTGCCGGCGTGGTGTTGGCGCGTTGTCGCCACATCTTTACGATCGAATAAGGTACTACCTATTACTTTGCTCATTCAGCGTAAATTCGGGGATCGTCCTGACCCGGTTAATAGGCACTTGATCTGAAGGTTCTGGTAGGTCATCTCTAAAGAATGGTCCCAAGTAGCTGCCTGGAAACATTGCTAACTCTCAGGAGTACCCGCTAAGCAAGTCTACTGTAGTTGGATGCAAAGTTTTGTATCTGGTAGCACGGGGACGCCCGGCCCGGGCAGGCGAGGGCGCGCGCGGTCGGGCACTTGATTCTCTAAACAGAAATAAATGCAATGATCAAAATAGTAGTTGTCATTTTACAATAACCGCTGCCGGCGCCAACCTATGTAAAGGGAAGCGGCGGCGGCAGCGGTAGGACACACGAGAGGAGCGTAGCTAAGGACTTACTTTTTGGGCGAGCAGGCCAGCTGGAGTCCAACATCCTGTCATCAGTATCGATTGCTCAACAATTTATGGCTGACGCTGTGAAGCTGTTGTGTACACATAGCTATGCTTCTTCAACGCAGAATATCCCACAATAGATTCCCAATCCGACCTCGTGGAAGTCTTGCAAATCCAGTTGGTTCAACTCGTTCGGCTATGCGAAGCACGAGGATGTATCAAGCGAAAGTCTCCTTTGTGCGTCAATGAGGAGGCCCGCCTGTATGGTATCATGGAAGGTTGTTGCATTCGGGCGGTTATCGGTATCACGAAGATTCCCTACTGTGCAATTCGGCTTCGCACCCGGTTTCATCTTCACATTCAGCTTTTTACTCATAGCAATCGTTATCGTCTAAATTGTCAGCCAAACCGTCATGACTAGCATGTCGTCATCACCATGTACCCTCCTTTCACCCCATCAAAACATCCACGCCTTTTCTTTTCCGACTCAGTGACAGGTACGGATTTCGACCACGCTCCCGGGACAGAGCGTGCGGGCTGGGCAAGAGTGGAGCTGCGCCAAGCACGCTGTGCGGCGCGACACAATTCGTACACATATCCAGGGACCAGACAGGCGACAAGGGAGGAGGAGTAGGATGAGGAGGAGGAGGAGGAGACGGAGGAGGAGGAAGAGGAGGAACGAGGCAGAAAGGGTTTCCACGCTTTCGTATGCGCCGCCACCCCCTCAGAGACATCACCCCTGTGCAATCCCCCATCGCCTCCGCCCCCTCCGCCGCCATTCTCCCTCGGCTGTTGTTTGGCCCTGATGCCGAGAAAGATGCAGCTCAAGATCTGGCTCCGCCATTCCACTGTCCATCATATCGCTGTATTCCTCTAGGCCTGTCTGGCTTCTCTTGTAGCGTTCCGCTTCGTGTGACAGATCGAGGGCTCAGCAGCGCTTCGTCATTGCACTGTCTATCGTGTACAGGTTTAGAGGCCTCCTAGGTGGGGTCCGAGTAGATGGGGTCGGAGGATGTCGCCGCATCGCCGATACATCGGCGATACACTGGCGATGCATCGGCGATGCATCGGCGATGCAATGGCGGCGTCAGCGATGCATCGGCGACGTCGGCGTGGAGAAAATTGGGCTTCACCTCGAGCAGCATCGCCGATGCATCGCCGATGCATCGGCGACACGGCTCGATCCTCCGACCCCATCTACTCCGGCCCCATCTAGGAGGCCAAGCAGGTTGCTGGAGCATCCTTGAAGCCGAACTAGGCTTCGAAGGTCAGGGGACTCGCGCAGGCAAACCCGAGCTTCGACCACGCAGGGATCGCGATCGCCCCAAGACCCACGCCTCCCGCGCATGGCCCCGGGGGCGATGCCTGCCCGAACTGAGACTTGCTTCTTCGCCGCACTGCGAAAGAGAGAGAGGCCGATGGAGGTTTCGGCCGAGAGCGGGGCAGGAAGGGGGGGGAGGGAGGGGAGGAGGGGGAGAAGCCCGGATGGGGGAGGGCACGCGGGAAGGGAGCGGCGCCGGGGCAGGGGCGGGGGGGAGGGGAGGGTGGGCGAAAAAGGGGGGGGGGGGGGGGGCGAGAGGGGAGGAAGGGGGGGGGGGGCAAGGGCGGGAGGAGGCGGGGCGGTGCGGAGAGGAGGAGGGGGAGGCGGAGGAGGAGGAGGAGAAGGAGGAGGCCTGCGGGGTCTGGGGGGGGGCGTGGTGGGGCGGGGGGAGGAAGCCGCGCGCACGACCTCGGCTGGCCACTCCACCGCTCCCGGCCGGGCCCGGGCCCTCCCGACCTGGCCAGGGGCGCGCACGCACCGAGCCCTGGGTTCGGGTCAGGCGTGCCCCCCTGCAGGCGGACCTTGGACGAGAAGTAAGACATGCCCCGACGATGTTCAAAGATGTTCCAACCTGTATTTACAAAAAATCGTCCCGAGAATATTCGTTAACTAGAACCATCGCGCGCGCGCTTCGCGCGCGCTCAAGTTCCAGCGAGCCTCTGGAGGCCTCCTGGGAGCATCCTGGACCGCTTCTGGAAGTCGTCATGGGACCTTCCTGGCATGTCTTCGGGGGCCTCCCAGAAAGAGTTTTGAAGCCTTTTGGGTGCCGTCTTGGCGCCTGTCGGAGCCTCTTTGGGGCTTCTTGGGGGCCTCTTGGGGCCTCTTGGGGGCTTCCTGGGAGCATCGTTGGGCCTCTTGGGGGCATCTTGGGGCGGAGAGCTTGATTTTTCGGTTCGCGTTCCCTCTCTCGGGCCCCTTTGTGGGCCTTCTTGGGACCCTCTTGCGCCGTCTTGGGCGGCTCTAGGGCCGTCTCGGGGCTCTCTCGGGCCGTCTTGGGGCTCTCTTGGGGGCCTCTTGGGCCGTCTTGGAGCGGTTTTGGGAGCCTCTTGGGCGATGCTTTAGCGCCAGAAACACGAAACAGCGAGAATGCAAAAAACATTGAACAAACAAATCAAAATCAACGATTTTGCGCTCTCGGGGCGCTCTTGGGCGGCATCTTGAAGGCCTCTTAGGGCGTCTTGGGGGCCTCCGGGGCAATGTAAAACGCATCATGCGTCGCCAGAGACCCCTGGACGGCGTCTTGGGGGTGTCTCGAGACCGTCCGGGGCCGCCGGGATTGCTGTCTGAGGGCTCCCCGCGGCGATTCTAGGCCTCCCAGAGGCGGGCCTGGGACCCGGGCCCCACATTTGCGGTCGAGGCTCTGGCCCCCGGCCCCCAGACCCCGTCCCCCGTTATATGTATACTATGTTTTGAAACATTCCCCATGTAGAGGGACAGACCCGACATAATTCGGCGGTGGACAAACCTCCCTTCAGTAAACCTCCCCTTAGTGAAAACGGCCTGGGACCGAAACCGACGGACCTGGACCCGCAAAAATGACGGCCGCGACGCCCTCTCGCGAACCGAAGACGGCCAATTCACTAATCGACTTGTCAGGGTGGGAGGTCTATCCACCTCCGATGTAGAGGGAGTAGAGGGACAGGCCCGACTTATAATGCTGGGCCAGGGCTGGGCCCGGCCAGGGTCGGTCGGGTGGCCAGCTGGCGCCTCCGGATTCGTGCCATCGCTCAGGCGTCCATCCCCCGTGCAGTGAGGAGGAGGACATGGAGGAGAAGGAGAAGAAGGAGGAGAAGGAGGCGAAGGAGGAGGAGGAGAAGGAGGAGGAGGAGGCACTCGCTTCACTCGCTTTCGTGCGCGTCTCTCTCTCTCTCTCTCTTTTTGGTTGCAGGGGGATCCGGGATGCTCCTCGATGGACCTCGCCGAGGAATGGTACATGACGTCCGGGAGATGCCGAGGATCCGAAGGGACCTTGAGTCGGGGGGCTCGCAGGGGGCGCCGTGGGGGGGAAGGAGAAACAGCATCCTCCCGAAGCGCGGTCCCGCGCGGGCTGCCCCAGGGGCTCAGCAGGGGAGCGGGACCCGCCGTCAGCCGACCTGCGAGGGGTGGAAGCGGGAGCGGATGGGGAGAGGGAGGATGCCTGACCATGCGGGACGTGGAGGGGGGGAGGGGAGGAAAGACCTGCGAGGGAGGGAAGCGGGAGTGGATGGGGAGAGGGAGGGTGCCTGAACATTTCGACGGGAGACGAGATGAAAAGGGGGAGGAGAGCCTAGGCACAGTACAGGGAGAAGAGAGAAGAGAGAAGAGGAGAGGGGAGAGGAGAGAGAGGGGGCGCAAGGAGACGCATCGCCAAGAGAGAGGAGACGTGCGCAACGAACTTACTGAGGAACAAAAGCGGCTGCCTATTTTGTTCACCAGCATGTCTGGTGCCTGTCTGGACTGCCTCAAGCACTGTGTGTTCCCGACCATCATTTGGTGTTGGGTCCTCGCTTTGAAGAGACAGCGCCCCGCGTCTGCTTCCCGCAGCCCCCCTTCCTCCTCGCATCCTTACTTCTGCCCCTCAGCATGGCAATTTCGGCACACCCAGCACAGGCTTTATGCCCCCATGAGAAGCTCCACCGAAGGCCACACTGGCTGTGCCAACATGTGTCCGCGTCGGTTATTTCGGCACGCCCCTCACACGTTTCGTGCCCCAATATGGAGCTCCACCCAAGGCCACACTGGGTGTGTCAACATGCGTCCGTGCCACCTATTTCGGCACACTCCTCACTCGCTGCGTGCCCCCGTAGGGAAATCCACCGAAGGCCACAGCGGGTGTGTCCACATGGGGCAAAGCCACCTATGTCTGCGCACCCCTCGCATGTTTCGTATCCCCATAAGAACCCACATGCGCCCACGCCACCCATCTCGGCATACCAATCACTTGCTTCGTGCCCACATAAGGAGATCCACCTAAGGCAACAATAGATTTGGCCCAATGCGTCCCCACCACCAATTCCGGCGCATCCCTCACATGATTCGTGCCCCCACTAGGGAGCTCCACCTGAGGCAACACTGGGTGTGCTCACAGGCGTTCGCGCCACCCTTGTCAGCACACCCCTCGCACGCTTCGTGCCCTCATAGGGAGCCCACCTGAGGCCACACTGGCTATGTCCACATGTGCCCGCGCCACCTATTTCGACGTACTCCTCGCACGCTTCGTGCCCCCCTCACATGCGTCCGTCCGCACCACCCATGTCGACACACCCCTGGCACGTTTCGTGCCCCCATAGGGAGCTCCACCGAAGGCCACACTGGGTGTGTCCACATGCGCACACGCCACCATTTTTCCGCACACCCCTCGAGCGCGTCGTGTCCACCATCGGGAGCTCTCCCATAAGGCCACACTGGGTGTGTCCACATGCGTCTGCACGATCCATGTCGGCATGCCCCTCACACGCTTCACATCCCCACAGGAAGCTCCACATGAGGCCAGACTAGGTGTGCTCACATGCGTCCGCGCCACCTACTTCAGCACACCAATCACACGTCTCGTTTCCTCATAAGAGGGCTCCACCCTAAGGAAACACTGGGTGTGTCCACACGCGTCCATGCCACCCATGCCGGCAGGCCCCTCAAATGTTTCGTGCCCCCATCGCAATCTCCACCTCAGGCCACACTGCGTGTGCCCACACGCGCCCGCACCACCCATTACGGCGCACCAATCGCACGCTTCGCGCTCCCATGGGGGCTCCACCTGAGGACACTCTGGGTGTGCCCACACGCGCCCGCGCCACCTATGTCGGCACACCCTTCGCACGCTTCGTGCCCACCATAGGGGGCTCCACCGAAGGCCACACAGTGTGGGTCCACATACGTCCGCGCCACCCCATCTCGGCGCGCCCCTTACAAGCTTCATGCCCCCATGGGATCTACAGTGGGTGTGTTCACATGCGCCCGCGTCAACAATTTCGGTGCACCCCTCGCACGTTTCGTGGCCCCATATGGAACTCCACCTACTAAAACCACTCTGGCTGTGTCCACATTCGTCCGCGCCACCAATTTCGGCACACCCCTCACACGTCTCGTACCTCCATCGGTAGCCCCACCTAAGGCCACAGCGGGTGTTTTCACACACACACACACACACACATCCGCGCCACCCCAGTCAGCACACCCCTCACATCGACTGTGTCCACCCCTCGGCGGCACCCATCACGCGTTTCGTGGCCCCATGGGAGCTCCACCTAAGGCCACAATGGGTGTGTGTGTGTGTGCACACGCGCCCAGGCCAACCCTGTCGGCAAGCCCCTCACACGTTTCCTGTCCCCATAGGGAGCTCCACCGAAGGCCGACGCGGATGCGTCCGCATGCGCCCGCTCCACCCATTTCGGCACGCCCCTCACACGTTCTTTGACCCAATGAAGCTCCACCTAAGGCCACACTGGGTGTGTCCACGTGTGTCCGCATGACCCATCTCGGCACACCCCTCACTCGCTTCGTGCCCCCATAGGCAGCTCCACCTGAGGCCACGATGCGTCCGCGCCACCTATTTCGGCACGGCACACCCTTCACTCGCTGCGTGCCCCCAACCTGAAGCCACAATGGGCATCCGCGCCACTTATTCCAGCACACCCCTCACACGATTCGTGCCCCCACAGGGAGCTCTACCTCAGGCCACGCTGCGTGTGTTCACGCGCGCCCGCGCCTCCCATTTCAGCACACCCCTCATGCGTTTCGTGGCCCCGTCGGATCCTCCACCGAAGGCGAGATTCACCACTGCGGCACTTACATATGAACATAGCTGGACTCTTCGCCAGGGAAATCTTCAGGACGGAGAGATCAAGAGAACAAACCGAAGAGAAACGTGCAGAGGAAAAGAAGATGGAGAAGTTGGGAATGAGGAGGACGGATGACGGATAGGGAAGGAGAAAGGGGAAAGAGAAATGGAAAGGAAGGCATGATGAGAAGCAGGGGGAGTAGGAGAAGAACACAGAGACAGACTGAGAGGAGGATAAGGAGGAGAAAAAGGGTGAAGGAGGGGGAGGAGTGGCGAGGATATCGCGGCGCGGGAGCCTGGGAAATAATCGGGACGCTAAAGCTCGGAAGCGGTGATGTGGTCAGCATGTCGTGACAAAACGCGGTGGGCCAGAACCGGAGGCGCGACACGCTAAGCCAAAGCTTCTGACCGTGGAGAGCATGGAGTATGAAGGGAAGCAGGAAAGACGAGGGCGAGAAGACCGAGGAGAGAAGAGAGGTACTTAATGGTATACGATGTCCGGTAACGCGCAGCGGGTAAATAGTAGGGGGAGTATGTGATACAACGTCAAAGACGGTTGAGAGGCGGGATTCGCGGAGCATGCACACGTGTATACATACCTAAATACATATCTATATACATGTATATAAACATATACATGTATGCATATAAATATGCATTAAAAAAGAAAGAAATAAAGAAATAAAGACAGAAATAAATAAAGAAAGAGAGAAAGAAAGAAAGAAAAAGAGAGAGAGAGAGAGAGCGGAAGAGAAATATACCCGCCACCTTGCGCTGAGACACGAGCTGTAGTGCCTTCAGGTCGTTGGCCTAGTCCTGCAAGCCTCGAACCCTAACCCGAAGGATCCTGCAAGAGGCCCAGACACCAAACTCCGAATCTCCCGGGAGCGCCTCGTGTGCCCCCACCGGGGGGGGGGGCCCGGCGCGTGGTGTCGCATGACTGCTTCGGGCCCAAGAGGGTGCCCAGGACGGGGCACGAGCGCGCCACAGCCGTACTTCCTTGGACAGGACACGCGAGGGGACACAAGGCCCTTCCGAGGGTCACACTGCCATGAGAATGCAGGAGGCACGGGTCGCGAGGCACAGGACACAGAGGTACCCTTGACTTGGCAGGGTCGACCTATTCATCCAGGCCGACTGTAAGAGGCCCCCAAGACGGTCCAAGAGCGCCCCGCATCGCCGAACGATCGGCCGAAGGCACCCAAGGTGGCCTGACGACGGCCGAAGGGGCGCCCCAGTCGCCCCAAGAGGCCTCCAAGGAGGGCCCCCACAAGGCAAAAACAGTCTGGCTCCCGTCGGACAACAAAAACATCTTTAGCACATACTGTTCTGCCTCACGGCGGTCAAAACGGCCCGAGAGGCCCCCAAGATCGCCCCAAGACGGCCCAACAGGCCCCCACGAGGACCCCAAGTCTGCCCATGTGGGCCCCAAACTGCCAAAGAGGCGCCCCAGACGGCCCAAGGGAGCCCCAAGACGGCCTCAAGTGGGGCCAAGAGGGGGAGATCCGACAATTCGAATTTTCCGCTCCGAGATAAGCACATCCAGGAGGCCCCAAGAGGCCCCCAAGAGGCCCCGAGAGGCCCCCAGGAATCCCCCAACACGCGCCAAAACGGAAGAGAACACATGCTGCTCCATCACATGGCAACTCCTCCATTTTTTCGCCGCGATGTTCAATACCATCTTCTTCATTTCCCTTGTTGGTTTCCCATTGGGGCTCACTTCTTCTCCTGCCCGTGCTCCGCGCGACCCCCCTATCTAACAAGCTACTTCTTTCTCGCTACACGATCCTCCTCCCTCCACCTCCTCTTCTCTTCCTCCCCCTTCTCCAACTGATGATCCCCCTTCTCTTTCTCAACCCCGCGCCCCGTCCCAAAGCCCGCCTGTGTGACGAGCCTGGCGGGCATAAGGGAGGAGTCGGTCTGGATCTGCTCAAAGCCAATCTCGTCCGGATTGATTCCAAGAGCGGGGAGCTTGGCCTCGTAGACGCGGATGGTGTCGTTGTAGGCCTGTGTACGGCGGGGAGCGCTGAAAGAAGCTGTGTCGTTGACGGCCTGTGTCGTTGACGGCATGTGTACGCCTGTGTCGTTGACGGCCTGTGTCGTACGACTGAAAGGGGGGGAGTCCTGCTACGGCAAGTTCATGTCATACCGACTTCGGTGTTGGTTTCTGGCACCGCGGGGATCGACCTTGAACTATCGGCCGTTTCCGAAACGTCAGATCGTTCATAGGGAACCGAACTCTATGCACCGACGCATGTTCCGCACAAGAAAGCGGATCCTGGTGTATACGGGATGCTGGTGTATACATGTCCGTCATTTCCCCAGGAAAACGGGGGAACAACTATACACCACACACCCCCGACGTCGTCCCTGACCCTCAAAAAATCCAGAGATTGAAAACAGCACACCACTGGTAATGTACATGTTCCAGTTTCCGAGTTCAACATCGACCGCTACTTGGTCGCCGCCGGCTTTCAACGCTGAACGCTCGCGGCGGGACCGCCGCCAATCCACACGACGCAAACCTACCGTAAGTCGGTGTGTTGCGCGAGCCTGGTCCTGGAGGCAAGCTGAAAAAGGCACGAGGCTGCTCCGCGAGCAGGTTGAAACCGCGCCACAGGAGGGCAGGATAGAGCAGACCCAGCGGCAATGAGATTCCTCCGCTGGCACGGTGCCACCCAACTGAGACGAAGAAGCATGTGTGCATGCCCGTGTGGAGGAAAACTGAAATGAGGATAAGAGCATCACGAACCGGCCACAATCGCGATTGAAACAAGAGTGCGACCAAGCCTAAACACAGCAAAACTACACCAACAACAACACCAACAGCAATAACAACAGCCGCAACAACAACCATTGTGAGACTGTTCGCTCTTACCTGCCCTCGTGCCATTCAACACGTATATCCCACACCCTCGATACCCGCCCTCTTCGTCTTCGATCGTACCCCTTTAGGGGTGTACCTTTCTGACCTGCAACGTGCAGCCAAAAAGGCAGAGGAAAAGAGCACGGATGGAAGGAAGGGACAAGGGGCAGGCGGGTTGCTAAGCATACGTCCTGCATGAGTCGCGAGGAAGTCTCGAGCGAGGGCGCGATTTCCAAATAAATCAATAAAACAATATCCACTACGAGAGCGTGATTCCTCAGTATCGAGCGCCTGACGTTTTCATGCATTGCGAGGAAGTCCCACGCGAGAGCGCGATTCCTGTATACATTGTGAGGGAATCCCGCGCGAGAGCGCGATGTGAACTACACTGCGACGAAGTATCTGGCGGGAGCCGTTGTTGTAAGCCCGGGGCCAGGGGCACAATTTGGTGGCACCTCAATTTCCCTTGCCAAGAAAACAGGTGCAACCCCCGGGGGGAACACTCTAATTGAATAACACCAAATGGTTACCAGAAAGGGGTGGACAAACAACTATTAATTCAAAAAACAGAAGTCAACAACCACATCAACAACAGGGATTTAACAACTTTTCACTCTTATCTGCTTGCGTGCCATTCAACACGTATATCCCAAACCCTCGATACCCGCCCTCTTCGTCTTCGATCGTACCACCTTGGGGGCATATCTTTCTGACCTACACTGTGTACTTCGTGCAACCCCGAAGGCAGGGGAAGAGAGGACGGATGGAAGGAAGGGACAGGGATGGAGCACGAGAGGGAATAACAGTGGGGGGCTGGGAGCAGAAAGCGCGTGGCAGAACCAGACGGGCAAATCGGGCAGGTGGATCCTAACAGGCAGGTGGATCCTAACAGGCACGCGGAAATCCGGCAATACATTTGCGCCCCGGAATGTATTGCACGCCCCACATGTATTGCAAACCCCACAAATCGATTACACGAAATCTACATGCGGATTCGATTGGACAGGACACGCGAGAGGACACAAGACCCTTCCGAGGGCCACATGGCCACAGGAATGTAGGAAGCATGGGTCGCGAGACACAGGACACAAGGGGAACCCTTGATTTGGCAGGGTCGACCTACTAATCTCTGCCGACTGTATTGCACCAACCCCTTGTCGCTGGACCCCTGGGTCAACCCGAGGGTAGCCGCGAGGCCCAGTGTGGACGTGCCCAGGACACCCCCGCGGTCGACCTCCCAGGAGACTCCCGGCGGTCGCGACACCTGCGCGGGTGGCAGCCCCCCTTGGGCGAGCACCAGGGGACGGGAAGCAGGAGGCAGTGAAGCAACGGTGGGGAGGCGCGAGGAGGAAACGGAGAAGGTCGCGCAAGCAGTGCTCCATGTGACTACCTACCAGACCACCCCAACCCAACCCGAAGACCTGAATTTTTGGTTGGGGGGGTACGGGCTCCACATGTGTTTTTTCAATGTTCCCCGACCCCCCCCTAAGTGGAAATGGAGGGAAAATTAAAGCCTTCGGGTTGGGTTGGGGAAGTTCGGTGGGTGGTGAAAACAAGTACCGGACAAGTAGAGGTCAAGAGGGGTGGGAATCAATAACGAAGTGCCTTTTCGGCAACCCGTGATCCGTGAAAATTAAGAAGGCACTTGTCACTTGTGCAACATCGACACTGTGTCGAGAATAGTGGGGGGCAATACTGGTGGGGATCCGTCTAGAATCTACGGCAGATCGTGTTCGGGGATGGACAGACCCCCCCTAGTAAAACGCGGTTTAGCGAAAACGACCCGAGGCCCAAACCTGGCGGGCGCAAGCCTGGAAAATAACGGCCACGGCGCCCTCTCGAGAACCGCAAGCGGACAATTCACTAATCGACGTGTCACTGTTGGGGGTTCTTTCCACCCCCGACATGTGGAACTCGTCGCCTGCCAGCAGTGGCCCCACATCCCTTAGTCCGGAGCGAAGCGCAACTCAAGAGCACCAAACCTCCACAACCATCCTCAACCTACAGTCGGGGCGTTGACCTAAGGAACCCTAAATAAGGAACGAGGCCGCTTTTTTTCCATAAGTTAAACTTCGATTTCCGATCGAAAACATAAGGGAAACCTGAGGCAAGCTGTAAAACACTTAAGGAAGGCGGAGCCCCTCCCCAACGAAAAGGGTTCCTTCTTCAGGGCCCCGACTGTATTCCGCTCCCCTCCTCTCACATTGCCAGGCGCGCCTTGGTGCACACGTGCAGCTGGTACTTCAGGTCGTTGATTGCCTTGTTCTTCTGCCCGAGCACCTGTAGCACTCTTCCTGAAGCCCTCCTCCTCCTCCTCCTACTACTCCTGCTCAACCTGCTCATCCCTTCGTCCATCCCGTCCTCCTCCATGACCCTCAATCCCTGGCCAAATTAGCAGAGGATTGCTTACGAGTCCAGATGCACGGTTGTGAGTACTCTTCGCGCACAACGAATGCTGATACATGTTGGTCGATGTCTGACCACGTCAGAGTGAGATGGCCGAATGGTCTTACTCTGTCCCTGGGCGAGTGGCTGAAATGGGCTTCAACGGAACTGATTATTGTTGTGTCGTGCTGCGGTGTGGTCGTCGTCGTCGTCGTCGTCGTCGTCGTCGTCGTCGCCGCCGCCACCCGCTCCGTGACCCACTCCGAGGCCCACGCCGCCACCCACCCGCGACCCACCCCGCGGCCTACCCGTCACCTTCCCGCGATCCTGCCGCGACCCTCCTGCGACCCGCCCACAATCCACCCACGAAACAACGAAACATAGGGGGCAAACAAACCTACCTCGATTATGACCACCCTCGCTTCCAAGAGATACCAAGCGATGCCAAACCACGGCATGTACTGGTCAGGCCGCTTGACGAGGAGGCGCGTGGTATGACTTGGTTTTGCCTGGAAGCGAAAGCGGGGTAGGTAATTCACCCGCGACCCGCGCTCGCAACCCACGCCCGGGACCCACGCCCGCGAAGCACTAAGGCCGATTGGAACAGAAGTCGCCCAGCGCACGCGGTGGGCTCTTGCACAGTGGCTTAGACCTGCCGTTCGGGGAGGGGCGAGTCGAGACGCTGGAAACTCAAACTCGGCCCGACATCCGAAATCGGTCCCCAAACCCTTCCTGGGGTCCAAACGCACCCGTTTTCCGAGCGGCGTCAAGCCGTGGCGACGAGGGCCCCCCCCCCCGAAGGCCAACTACCGCTCTACCTAAAACATCGGAACCAACATCGGGCGGAATGC